CATACAACATTTGTCTTTCTCTGTCTGACTTATTTCACTTAGCATAATACCCTCTAGATCCGTCCATGTTGTTGCAGGTAGTAAGATTTCATTCTTTTATTATGGCTGCATAATATTCCATTGTATATATGTACCACTTTATCCATTCATCTATTGATGGACACTCAGGTTGCTTCCATATCTTGGCTATTGTAAATAATGCTGCAGTGAACATATGGATACATATGTCCTCTTGAATTAGTATTTTGGATTTCTTAGGGTAAGTACACACAGTGGAATTACTTGGTCCTTCTTTATTATAGCCTTTGTTTTAAAGTCTATTTTATCTAAATATTGCTTCTCCAGTTTTTCTGTTTGTTTCCATTTTCATAAAATGTCTTTTTCCATCCCTTTATTTTCAGTCTGTGTGTGTCTTTCAGTCTGAAATGAGTCTCTTGTAGGCAACATATGTAAGGACCTTGCTTACTTATCCATTCAGCCACCCTATGTCTTTTTTTTTTTTTTAAAGATTTTTATTGGGGAATTGGGGGGATGGGAACAGTGCTGGGGAATTGGGGAAAGGGGAACAGACAAGTTGCTGTCGTTTTGTTCTTCAATCTAGTTGTGGAGGATGTTGCTTCACTGGCCCAAGTTGGCACCATCATTGCGCTCTTCTCTGGCGAGGCAGATCAGTCGCCGGCTTCTGGACAGCCGCTCACTGCGGCTGCTGGCCGCTCACGCTGGCTGCTGGCCACACACGGTAGCCCATGGCAATCCACTGCCACAGGGACTGCAGCCCACGCCGTCGCCGGCGACTCATGGCAACCCAGCTCCAGGTTGAGCTGTTGTTCAGCATCTTAGCTGTGGAGGGCAGTGTCACTGGCCCTCATATGTGGGATCCGAACCGGGGCCCTCTGGCATCCCAAGCGAGTTCTTAACCATCGCACCACTCGGCCGGCCCCACCCTATGTCTTTTGATTGGAGCATTTAATTCATTTATATTTAAAGTAATTGTTGATAGATATGTAGTTATTGCCATTTTATTATTCACATTTTTCATCTTTTTTCCCCCTTCTTCTTAAAGAAGTCCCTTTAACATTTCTTATACTGGTTTGGTGGTGATGAACTCCTTTATACTTTCCTTGTCTGGGAAGATCTTTGTCCTTCGGTTCCAAATGATAGCTTTGCGGGGTAGAGTAATCTTGGTTGTAGGTCTTTGCTTTTCATCACTTTGAATATTTTATGCCAATCCCTTCTGGGCCTGCAAAGTTTCTGTTGAGAAATCAGCTGAAAATCTTATGGGAGCTCCCTTGTAAGTAACTAGTTGCCTTTCTTTTGCTGCTTTTAGGATTGTCTCTTTGTCCTTAATCTTTGCCATTTTAATTTTACAATGTGTTTTAGTATGGGCCTGTTTAGGTTCATCTTATTTGGGACTCCCTGTGCTTCCTGGGCTTGTATGTCTATTTCCTTTACCAGGTTAGGGAAATTTTCCATCATTATTTCATCAGATAGCTTTTTAATTCCTTGCTCTCACTCCTCTCCTTCTGGTACCCCTTTAATGTGAATGTTGGGATGCTTGGTATTGCCCCAGAGGTGCCTTAAGCTATCCTCATTTTTATGGATTCTTTTTCTTTTTGCTGTTCTGATTGGGTGTTTTTTCTGCTACCTTAGCATCCAAATCACTGATTTGATCCTCTGCTTCATCTAATCCACTCTAATATATTCTTTATTTTAGTTTTTGTATTCTTCATTATGAATTTTAATGGTTCTTTTTTATGTTTTCTATCTCCATTTTTATGTTTATGCTCTCTTTGTTGAAGTTCTCCCTGAGATCACTGAGCATCCTTATAACCAGTGTTTTGAGCTTTGCATCTGGTAGATTGCTCTTTCCATTTTGTTTAGTTCTTTTTCTGGAGTTTTGTTCTGTTCTTTTACTTGGGGCTTGATTCTTTGTCACTTCCCTGTGTTTGTTTCTATGTATTAAGTAGAGCTATTATGTCTCCTGGTCTTGGTAGTGGCTTTAGGTAGTAGGTGTCCTGTGGGGCCCAGTGGTGCAGTCTCTCTGGTCACCTGAAGCTGGGTGCTGCAGGTATGTTCCTTGTGTGCATTTTATGTGCCCTCCTGTTTAGTTGAGCCTTGATTGCTGTTGGCATGTCAATGAGAGGGATCAGATTCTCAGACTTATTGGTTGTGAGGACTGGCTGTGATTGCAGTGGAGGAGCTGTTGTGAAGGGGCTGACCCTGTGGAGCAGGATTCACTTCAGTGGGGTTCTTGGTGCCATGCCAGCTCAGTCTGCCCTTTGGGTGTGTCATTTGTGGAGGTGGTTGGATGGTGCTCTGGTGTGGTCTGAAGCTGGCCACAAGGTGTGTTGGTTCTGGGGCCTCTTGGGAGGGTCTTTGTTGCAGGCCAAGATCATCTGCTGCCTGTGCCTTGCCTGGGCCACTTGGTATGACCTAGAAACTGATCTGCAAACGGTTGCCACTTGTGCTGGGCTTGGAGGTGCCTGGCGGAGGCTAACCTGTGAACTGAGGCTGGTTGCCGCTCATGCCAAGGTTGGGGCTGTTGAGCAAGACGTATGGGGCATGCCAAGGCTAGATGATGTTGTTTGCGGTTTGTGAACCTTTGAGAGATTTTAGAAAAGCCTGCAACATGAGCCAAGACAAGGCGTTTGTATGGAAAAGCCACTGGTAGCAGCTTGGGTGGGCCTGCAAGTTGGGTGGGGTGGAGTCTCAGAATCACCAGGGCAGGGCAAACAGTGTTAGCCACTGAGACTCAGATATGGCATCTTTTGAGCTGCTGTCCCAGAGCTGGAGCTCAGAGCTAGTGAGTCTGTCAGCAAGTAAGTTCATGTATGGGCCCTTTAAGAGGAATGCCTGTGACTCCAGCAGCCCTGTCTCACTCAGCCACAATCTCCGCTGCTGGTTATGGGAAGTTCTCTCCCTGGTCCTGGGACCCAGGGCTGGTGAGCCTGGTGTGGGGATGGGACACCTCACTCCTTAGAGGACAGGGAACTGTGCAGCTGAGATATCCCTCCCAATTTTTATCCATCATACGTGGGTGTGGGACTAGTCCGTTCCATGTCTCCTCCCCTCCCGTCTGTCTCCACATGGCCTCACTTGTATATCCTTAGTTATAGGACTTCTGTGCCGCTACACTTAATGTGATCCTCAACGATGGGTGTTCTGCAGTTTAGTTATAATTTTGATGTGATCTTGGGAGGAGGTGAGCACAGCATTTACCTACCCTGCCATTGGTTTTGGTATGTTACCACTGTGTACAGTAGCATAAATAAAGACTGATAAGTTATTTTCTCAAAAACAAGGTTTTGTAATAGGGTGAAATAGCATTTAGGATCATAATTTTTATTTCACTTACACATGAAAGCAAATTGCCCCAAAACACTTTCCACAAGGCCCCTCCAGCCGTTCTCTTCCTTTCCTTCCCCTCCCCACTTCCCTTCATGAGGGTAGCACCTGATTGTCGCAGCCAGTCATCATGGGCTAGAAAGAAGAAAGGAGAGTTAAAAGCAATCTCCACTTTTTTTCCCTCTTTTTAAGAAATGATTTTCTGTGATGGTGGCAGGTGTAACCCATAGCATCAGCATTTATCTAGTTTGCAGGAAACTCCATTCTTCCTCTTTGCCTTGGGATGAAAAAAAAAAAAAAGTCTTCTTGAACGTGAGCTGGAGGCTGGGAAAGAAATGGAATCCCGAGCTAAAAAAAATGCAAGGATACTGTTACCTCAAGCTCAGGGATGAGTGGATTCTTCTAAAATGGGTGCAGTTTTATCCAGGTGCTCCATAGCTTAATTTAAAGCATTGGAAAGATGTGAACACTGAGACTAGAGCAGGAAAATGCTAGACATCTGGGGCAGCATGGATATGAACTTCAAGAAGATTGCTAGAAGACTGGAGCATACTCTACTCAAATTAGAGCTCTTAGAATGTAGACACCTCATTCTCTATGGCTATGAAGGAGCCATCAGGTTATTGCTTGGGGAAGGGAAGGGAGACTAGTCATATGTATACTGTATACTGTGGAAGACAGTCACTTATTAGTTCAAAATAAATTCCATGGGTTAAATACTGGTTTCAGTCATAAGAATGTTGATGGTTCCTGGGAAGTCAGGTGGGCGGTGCGAGGTTGTAGAGATAAGGGGGATTTCCACCATGAAATGCAAGCTATGAAATTCAAAGATCCTTGTGACAAGTCAAAAGCAATTTCTTTTATGTACAGTCACTGTTGACATTAATGAAGCCTGAACATATTCCTGTGGACCAAAAATAATTAGCCCTGACAACTGAATTCAAATCAGACCTTTAGGAATGACCTAATTGTTCTTCCATGAGGGGTGGACATTGGCTCACCTTTGGCCGTGGCATCAGCCCTGGTAAAGATGGGAGGCCTCCCGGTCTCTGTCAGGTGGGTCCCTTTTTGTCACAGAAAACACAAAGGACAGAGGGCTTCGGTGAGGTCGTAGCCCTCCCTGGTTATCTGCGATGCCTGCCATCCTGAGAATTTTTTGAATAAACACTATCCAGATTCCTGCTGAAATTCCCATTCACCATTTGTACATTTGACTTCCTGCCGCCTCGGTGGCTAGAAATTTCTCCCAGCTGCTAGTAGGCGGGTGGGCCTACTAACCTTGTCCCACCTCTGTTTTTCTGGCAGCTGCTCTAGTTTTCAGGATTGCACTGGTGACAGTGATCAACAGAAGCACTCCAATTCCACCCTGGTTATTTTTGGCCGTCATGAGAAATCCAAGGCCTCGACTTTTGGCTCTGTGTGGTTGAGATATTAGGTAACCTTTTCCTGTGCAAGTACAGGCAAAGGAGCGAGAGTCTTGACCTGCATCCATCTGTTCATCCGGTGTTTTCATGTCCTTCTGTTTTTCCTTGTCAAGGACCTTAGCGAATGCACAAGGAACCCCCTCTCTGACATAGCACTTTGTTTCTAATAAGAGATGGCTCTGGAGAAAGTTGAACATGTATTGAGTGTATATTTTGTTTCTTTCCTCCTAGATTGAAAACATAGATGCCTGCTTGAATTTCCTGGCAGCCAAGGGAATAAACATCCAGGGGCTGTCTGCAGAAGGTAAGTCAGCACTTGTCATGCAGCAGCCTTTTCATCATTAGAAATGCCCACCTGTTACCTATTGATGCCATGAATACGGTAAAAACAAGAGATGCTGGTGAGCTCTTCTGGTTTTGATGTAGCTCAGTGCTTGTTTAGACCTGAGGATGCCAACTTTTTCACAACCTAAAGAACCGCTCCCAGAATGCATATTCAACCATGCTGGCCATGTCTGCAGGACACTGAGGGAATTGTGAGGACATAGCCGCTTTTCTTTCAGAAAAGCTTCATCAAACAATGCTGATTTTATTCACCCGACTAGCAATTCAGTTAATGATCAAGCCAGGCCTTATCTGTGGGAGAGAGAACACTTAACCACAGAACATATTTAAACTGTACAGTTCCCAGGGAGAAATGCCTAATCCTTATCGCTTACTTTGTATTAGAGGAAGCAGTACTTCTCTTAGCTTAAAAAAGAAAATAAAAGCACTTGATTTATTAATGAGATGCTACATTTTGACATCCTGATTAGTTTTTAATTAACTCACATTTCGTGGCTAATTAGCACATTAGTGTTTGCTGGTGGTTTTCTATTCAATTAGGTATTGGTCTAGAGATGGCTAGTCCGAAGTCTCAGCCTCTTCAGGCAACATCTTGCTCTGGAAACATTCGCACGCTCTCCTATTTGTAAACACAAGCAGCTGCCAGCTCCAGAGCTGCCATAGGCCCCGGCATGCTCCCAAACTCATTAGGCTGCACCTGCCTCCACTTTTCCCAGAGCAGGTAAAGCCGTTTGGGCTTTAGATGACACCACCTTTCCCTAGCAAGGTTGCATTTTGAAAAGATGCCTGTTAACACCGACTTCAGTGGTCAGGGTGGGGAGGAGGGAAGCAGTGAGGAAAGAAGCAGCCCAATGGAGCAGGTAAGTTTGCAAATGTGATGGATTGCATTCAGGCCCGTTCCTTGCCTCTGTTGTGCGATGCAGTGAACGCTTGCTTTTTCTGGCTGTGTTTCTGAGCTGCAGCCTCTTCCAGTATTTGGGGTGGGTGGCACCACTACTGGGGCCTCGTGGGTGTGTCGTGTCTCTGAGGGTGACTGCTGGAATTCCCCGAGTGGGAACCTGAATGTGCTGGGCCTGTCCCAGGCCAGGCGCGGTCACACTGCTTCCAGACGTCTCTGAAGCAGCTGCTGGGTGGTGCATTGTAATCCCAGCTCTGCGAGGGGGGTCCTTTGTGGGTTCCTTTGCCCTGGGGTGTGAGCCCTCCTCCATAGGGATGAGACCAGAGAGAAATGACATGTGACGTGCATATTGCTGGGGCATGGGCTGATTGGTGGTGGTGTTTCCTTGGATAGGTAGAGAGATGCAAATTCCCAATTCCAGGAACACATTACTTCTTCCTGGTGGAGAGTTCTTGTGCTGGCCTGTAGGTGGCAGGCACGTGCTCCTAGCTTCTCGGAGTGATTGTACCCAGGTCTGGGCCCCTTGGCAGAGCATCCGCAGGGACTTGTACAGAGTCTTGCTCAGCAGGAAGGGCTCTTTGGGATGTGGACTCTGTGGGCCGGCTTTATCCCATGTGGCCTGGGGGTGACCCCTGACCACTCTGCCATCTATCTACCCATTGCCCTGCCTTCTGCCTCCGTTATCTCCACCACCTCTAGCCCCACCTGCCTCATCCTCTCTGTACCTTAAGGCATAGAGAATCTACTCAATAAATATTTGTTGAATGAATAAGTACCAGCTGTGCTTTTAAGGCTTTTACATATATCAGCTCCAGCTCTCACAACTGCAGTTGGAATTTATGATAGGCTGAGTTTACAGATGAGGAAACATTGGCTTAAGGAGGTGATGGGTGACATCCCCCAAGGCCTGTAGCTAGTGAGTGCCAGAGTCATGATTTGAACCCAGGTCTGTGTGATTTCAGAGTTAATGTTCATGGTGTCTTTTGGGGATAGCAGACGGATCAAATCTAGGCATACTATGTATAGGTGGAAGAAATCAGAAAAGACTATGAACTCTTTGTTAGCTGCAGAAATTGTTGTGCAGCCCATGAGGGCATATAAGGAGAGACACTCAGCCCCCATCCCCCAGACCCTCCTCAAAGGGATGTGGCCCTGTGAGTCTCTGCTCATAGAAGAGCATACTTGTAACGAGTGTGTTGAGGTATCAATCATTGTGGCATAACGATGAAGTGGATCGATGGTATTTCAGTGACTGCCCCCATCTGTGCGATGTTGACCCTTCCATCTTTCCCACTGGGTCAAGACTCAATGGTGGCCAGAATCTGTAACTTTTAAGTCACACTCATTATTAGAACAGTTTTATGCCAGTACTTGTGACTCAGTCTTGTTCATTTTTAAACTTCAGTCTCAAACTCTACTCAAAGCTCTTCCCCCGCCCCCCCCCTCCACCCCCAAGTGCAAGTGCCTTTGGGTGGATGAGGACATGATAATGTGACTTGCTGTCCCTTTCCTTGTTCCTGTGCCTGAACCTCCTGGACTGGAGCAGCACAGAGGAAGCAGAATGTGGCTGATGGTGAAGTTGCTGTCGCCTCTTGGGAAATTGTCACCGTCCCCAGGCGGGAGCCTCTGCATGCTTTGCTGACCAGGAACTCACTCCCAGGGCCTTGGTAGTTGCCTTCTATGAGAGTTGACCAGTTCTTCCAGCTCACTTCCAGCTGGGAGCATACATGTTCCACCCCCCACTTCTGGCCCCACACGAAGGTGGTCCTGGTGAGGATATAGACCTCAATCTCATGATCCCTCCATTACCCACTGTAGAACCAGCGTGATGTGTGGGCTCCATCTTCCACTTGCAGTCGGTAGAACAGGCCTCTTGTCACCTGGAAGTCCCCCACCATACAATCTCTCGTCAGCTCTTTTCCTCTCATGTGGCCATAAGGCCAAGTCTCTGCTAAGCAGGTGTCCATCTGGGGGCTGGAATGAAAGGATCCCCACTTGGAATGATTGTTGAGAGCCTGTTTGCTTTTTATTTCAAGGAGTGCAGGGACCCCACCCACCTTCTTTCTCCTTGGTGAAGAAGGAAATATCTTGTCTCTGTGATCATCAAATATTATCACCCCCTCCCCCCCACCGCTTAATGACATTCTCTCATCTAGGTCTTATTGATTTTTTAGGGGAAGTGATGGATGACGATGATGATGGTGTTGGTGATAAGACTGATTCTGAACTGGTGCAGTCTTATGGGATGGTGACTGGGCCCAGCCATTGTCCACTCCTTGAACTTATAAAGCAAGGGCACTTCGAGACTTTTATCCTCAAATGGGCCTTATTCACAATTTCAGAATTACGGGCATCTCACTTGACATGCTGTTAAATTATAGGAATGGAAATAATTCATTGAGAACTCACCATATATGAGTCACGGTGCTAAGTGCCGTGCACATTTTATCTTATTTATTCCTCCCAGCAACCTGATGAGGTCAGTATTTGTATTATCCCCATAATAACAGATGAGGAAACTAAGACCAAAACAGATTCAGTTACACATGGGGAAAAGGAGGCCCACAGCTCAGCAGGGGCTACTCACGTCTGCTGATTCAAAGGCCCGGTGTTTTCTACTCACTGCTACCCACACTTCTAACCACCTGCATAATCACTAGAAAAGCATTATAGTGTTTAAAGAAATCATGTAGCCTTAACGCTTTTTGTTTTCCTTTTGAAGATGATTGAGTGCCCTGAGGCTCCTCCTCTGATGAAAAAATAAATATATAAAACATCAGGGGTTGGAAAGCCCCGTAGGTACATCTCCACCCTTTCCCAGGGACTAAAGCCGGTTTCGAACCCAGGAGGGTATATGCACCTGTCCTTGAAGCATTTCAGCAGCTCAGGTCCTGCCCCGACCTGTCTGTTAGAGAGCCACAGAGAGCCTTTGTTCCCAGGCACAGGCAGCAGGTGCCTGTGGGGCAGAAGCTACAGACCCAGGTGAGCCCTGTGGAAATGCTGCCGGTTTGGGCCACGTCCCCTGGACTCAGCCTCTTCACCTCCTCAGTGTTCCGAAAGGTGGGACCCATCCGTTTGCTCTTGGAGTCTTGCCAGCGTCCTGTGAGCTTGGACCTCACCCTGGCCTGGGTGATTTTCAAAATCCCTTCTACCCCTCCCTGACACACATGCCACCTGTCCTGACCATCTGTAATCCTGTCCCTGGGAGGAAGGATGGCCTTTATCCCTGGGAGTTTTGAGGACACCTGGGGTTTGTGCCACCTGGCCCTGAGCCCATCTTCCTGTATTAGAGGTCCAAGCGTATGGCAGGTGTATTCTATTTAGCTCACCAAACGTTTGCTGGGCACATCCTATATGCCAGGCATCGTACTAGGCACTGGGGTGCAGAGTCAAGTCAGTCGTACAAAGCTGGCCTTAATTCTAACTATTAGCTGCGCTAATGGCCTGTACAGAATCCAGTGCTGCCCAAACAAAGGCAGCGATCAGCTTCACCTGGGGTAGATGGGGGGCTTCACAGAGGCAGTGATGTTTCCCCTGGGTTCCACAGGATGCACAGGCACTCATCAGACAGAAAGGAAGGGGAAGGGAACTCTAGACAGAGAATGGGGCATAGGTAATAGGTGGGAGCAAAGGACTAGCTCGTTAGCACCCTTGCAGATTACAGAAACAGGCAGGAGGATCCTTCCAGGTGCCTTTCGAAAGGAGTGTCAGCTTTGGAAGGCAAATCGGTGGCTGGCTTGATGAGCTCAGACCTGGGTGTGCTGCTCTGATGTCCAGAGATGGAGATGCTGAGCTTGTTTCTCCTTTCGTCCTGAGCCAGAAAGAATGAGGTATTTCTGGGCCTTAAGGGTATAAAAGCAGCACGGAGATCATTTTCATTTCCTCCCACCCATGTCACCTGCGTTTGGCAGTGCATGTGGGATCTGCCCCACACCAGGAGGGGCCCTGTAGGCTCTGCTCCCGCCCCCTCAGCCACTGCCACTTGTGGGTAGAGTCATTGCCAGGCATGGTGAGCAGTGCACAGAAGGGCTGCACAAGTAGGGTGGGAAGCTATGTGGTGAGTGTAGGTTCATGTAGACGGCCCATCTGGAGGAATAATGCCACAGAATCCATCGTCCTGACTCAGCTGGGCGAGCCACCATGGCTTACGGCGATTGAATAGGAATCCTGCAAGTCTGCAGCCTGAGGCAGCCCTCCCTTTGGCTCTAAATCCCTTCTTCCCACAAAGCAGGTTCTTTGTATTAGATTATTCCAAGGCTTGTGCCTTTGGAAACCAGTCCTGAGGTTTCTCTTCAATAATAGTGAAAGAAAATAGCTCTCCTATGTATTCTACTTTTATGCCTAGCGTTCCCTACAGCATCTATGCAGATTAGTACCAGCCGATGGGAACAAAGATCAGTCAGAACCCAAAGAAGTGAAGAGTCAAGGCAATACTGAAATCTCTTGGAAACTGGATTGTGATGTGTAGTTTGTTCTTCAGTTTACATGGGGGCGGCCACAGGAAGAGAAGGGAGAATAGGGTTCCCATGTTGGTTTAGACACCAGCTAGCTGATATGCCATGTCCAGAACAGGCAAATCTGGAGAAACAGAAAGCAGAGTAGAGGTTGCCTGGGGAATGGTTTGGGAATTGGCTGTGCATGAGGACTCTTCCTAACGCTATTAAAATCATTGTACACTTAATTTTATGGATGGGAATTATACCTCAAGTTGTTTAAAAACAAACAAACAAAAAAACCCAAAAGATCACCAATGAGTTTTCTCTCATATGAGAATATTCATGATTCATTTCCTCTTTGACACTTGAGACTGTGGCATAGAGAGGGATGTGCAGGAAAAATAGACAGCTTATCAGGCTCCCTTTCGGGGAAGAGCCCTGCTAGGAGGCTGCGGGTAGAGGGACGATATTTTCTGAACCAAAAAGGGGAAGTACCGAGTCAGGACTTGTCCTAGGTGCTTTGCACTCATTTTCTCATTTAATCTTTCCTCAATTCTCATAATAAGAACCCTGTGAGAAAGGTGCAGCTTGCAACTGCCCATTTTAAAGACAAAAACTGAGGCTCGGCGAAGGCAAATCTTGTGCATACTCGAAGTCTAGAAGAAAGGGCCTAGAGAGGTTCAAACCTAGGTCTTTCTGGCTCCAAAAATCACTGATCTTGATCATAAAAAATGTGGCCTCCTAAGAAAGTATATTTATAGGAGCACTGTGCTCTTTGACAAATAAAAAGCTGTTTTAGGGAATAATGCAATGGACCATTATCAACAAGATAAGAGATAAGGACCACAGCCTGTAGAGGGTGTCAAAGCTGCCTCCTGGTCTACCTTGAGCTGGGCTGGTAGGTTGTGAGAGTGGTGATGTGGACAGACATGCCAGCTTTTTTCAGTGGACAACCTCTGAGCCCCTGGGTATGCTGATTTGTTGGTTGCTCCCTTCTTTGATTTTCTTGCATGGTTTTAAAAAAATGTATTATGGGATATTTGACACATTCCATAACGAAAGAATACCTGAAGAATAAAGAAGACTTGTATGACCACTAGCTAGCTTAATAAAACATCATCCGGTGTGCTTTTCACCACACATGATGAGTATCCAAGAAAGCCAAGTTACACAGTGTTAGGAGACCAGGCTTTGAGCCAGAAAAACCTAGATTCAAATCCCACTCCAGCATTTATTACCTTAGGAGGTCATAAAACCTCTCTGAGCCTCTGCTTCCCCTTAAGAGAGGGATAATCTCACTTCCCCAGTTCTAGGGATTGAATGAGGTCATACATGTAAAGAGTTTAACCTGATGCATACTAATCAGTAGTAGCTCTTGTTATTATAAATAAGGTATATATAACCTGACAATGTTAGAAGACGCTAAAAATCTTACAGAGATCTCATCTAGCTGCATGGTTAGCTCTACTTTCTCCTTCCTGCAAATTCGATTTGGGGAAATTATCTGTTTTCCCAAGTTCTTTAATTAGGTCCTAACCTGCATGACATCTCTTGGTGGTCTCCTCTTGATTCTGCTCCTTCCTCCTGTCACTGTGTCCAGCTGGGTGACCACGGGTATGTCACTTCACCCTTCGTTTTTGCCATGAGCAAAATGAGCCTGCGGAGTCATTCCATCCAAGCCTTGTATTCTGTGACCCTGAAGCACTTGTAAGAGAAGCAGGAGCCACCTGTGTGTGCTTCTCCTTTGATTTCCCGAGGACAGAGAAGGCAGCAGAGCGGGAGTGTTAAAGCTGAACTGTCCAAAGAAACTGGGGGCTTGCCACCTCCTTGGAAGTTCTCTGCTCCCTGCATTGAGCACAGTGGTTTACAAGCATCCTGATTTGTCTAGGTCAGTCCTGGCTTACACCTGTCATCCAGGTGTAATTAAATGCCCCCGCCTTTACCCCCTTCACTTTCAAAAGTACTAGTATTGTGGTTTCGTGATAAATTATAAGGTCACCATAGTAAAACCCTTATTTTTAGGACATTAAGCTGGAGCTGTATGGGATCTCATACAGGATTATGGGGCTACAGTTGTCACATAGTAACCAGACCAGTGAAGGGCTATTTGCATTGTTTCTTTCACATATGTGCTCTTGTTTGATCTGCAAAACAACCTTGTGTGAAGAGGCAAGCTGTGTCAATATTGCCATTGAGGCACAAAGAGATTAAATGACTTGCCCAGGGTTGCACAGCCAATAAGTGGCGGAGGACAGACTGGAACGCATGGCTTAGGTTTTCCCCAAAGCTGTGCTCCTGTCAGTTTTGTTCCACAGTCAGAACCTGCTAGCTCTCAAAGTAGAGAGTGCAGGCTGGCTCCTAGCAGCTTGTATTGCCAGTTTCTTCAGAGCTTGGTGAAGGCAGTGCTCCAACAGGAAGTAATTCAGCTCTGCCTAATCCACAGCTCACACCCAGGGCGCTGGCAGGCTTGCAGGGAATGAGGCCTGTGTCTGAAAGGACCCAATTCATACCTGCTGCCCCTCAGCTGGTCTGTGGAGGAAACTCTTTCTTTTATCAGCAGCCTCTTCCCCAGCCTGAGGCTAACCTGGGGGGTTGCATTGTCTACATGGGTGAGGTTTCCCTTCCTCTGACACCCCTCCCTCAGTTTAGGGTCTAAGCAAAGCAGAGGGACCCCCCAAATTTCCTCCTTTTGTGTCCCTCATGCTGGGTGGCCCTATTACTTCACCCTCAAGGTCAGCTTAGACCATAGCCATCAATATCTGATGTTTAAAAGAACTGCATACATGAGGGGGTTGCCCAAGGAGAAACACCCCTGCATTCACAGCCCCTGCCTGTGAAAAAATACCTTATTCCTTCTCTGCAACTCTTGATGCATGCCTTGAAGAAAGTGCATTTTAACATCTAAAAAATTCCATCTGGAATAAAAATGTTCTTAACTCCACTCTGCTCTAATTTCTTTTAATTTAGGAGAGGTTTTGCCTGAATTCTTAATGGGAGCAAGTCCTATAGCCTATCTGCTAACCCATCCCCAATTAAAATTATTTATTGAGCGGGAAAGAGAAACACAGAGGCTTGTATTTGAGGAAAGGATGACTGGGTACAGCAGTGCAGGGATTGTGGCGTGGGACAGCAGCCACTTGGCACACTCCCGGTGGCTTGACGCATAGAACACAGACTTGGCAGAGTCCGGCGAAGACCAGTGACTTTCCTTTGGCTCTGGGGACCTCATCTGTCCCCGGATCGTTTGCTCTGCCCCTGGAGCAAGCACAGTCTTGCTCTGACTCTTACTTTTTTGGTCGTGTCTTTACCGAGAATTTCTTCCTGGCACTCGCCAGACATCCAGTTGCAACTTGCCTCGTGTATCTATTCTAATCCCAGTGGGGAGACTAAGCTAATTTCTTTGTGGTTTAGGCCTGATTTTAATTGACCGTGATACCAATTACATAAAGTGTTCGGGAAATCCGTCATATCCTGGAGGAACTGAACTCCTGCGAGGGCTGAAGCAGCCCAGTGAACTGGAGTGAGAAAGGACTCCTCCTCTAACCAGACTCTCTTTGCTGTCTTGCAGAAATCAGGAATGGAAACCTCAAGGCCATTCTAGGCCTCTTCTTCAGCCTCTCCCGGTACAAGCAGCAGCAGCAGCAGCCCCAGAAGCAGCTCCTCTCCTCACCGCTGCCGCCTGCCGTGTCCCAGGCGGCCGGGGCCCCTTTCCAGTGCCAGGCTGGCACTCCTCAGCAACAGGTGCCAGCCACTCCCCAAGCCCCGTGCCAGCCTCACCAGCCAGCACCGCATCAGCAGTCAAAAGCACAAGCTGAAATGCAGTCCAGGTGGGGGCTCCTTGCCAACTTGATAATAATTCTGTTTTTTTCAGGGGTCCTCCTCCACACTGACCGAGTTCTAGCCTGTACTGAATGTGTTTCTCATTCTCAGTGTCACAGTGTTGAGAACGACTGGTAGTTCGTGAGGGACTAGCATGGCCTTGAAGCGGAGGCCTCCTCCTGTGCATGGTGGTGATGTGTACTTTTATATCAGAATCCCCAGCAGCCAAAGCTAATTAGCTGCTCCTGCGTTAACCCTGGCCTATTACACACTTGTATGCAGTAAACAGCCCCTAAAATAGACTCCAAACTCCTTTTGCATGTTTGCCTACAAGCGGGGTATTCAGTGTTGTATGTGGGAGTAATTTTACTTATTGGAGGCAAGTTGTCCTCCAGCAGATAGCTCTGCTTTGCCAGAAGATAAATGTCAAGAACAACCAAGTGAGATGGCAAGGGGCCTTCAGCCACTTTCCCTGAGAGTGCTGGCATCCCCTGATGGGAGCACTTATCATTACATGTGACTGGGTTTTCCTGACCTTAGAGTGATGGTAGCATGTCAGCTGTGGTCCTCTGCTTTGCACAATTAGGTCCTCGATTTTTTGGTGTTCCCAGGGGGCCTGATGCTTGCCAGTGGGACTCACCGTAGAATGCTGTACAAGCAGAGCGCCCGTAGTTACCATCTACTGTTAAAATGGGAATAGTTGCACTCCTAAACCGGTCTGCAAAAGATCACCTTGTGAAACATGTGTTTTAATAGCACGAGAAAAAGGAAGGGGTTGGGAACTAGAATGTTTTTGACTCATAGTAAAGTTCTGGAGAAAAATCCCCAATAATTGTTTTTTAAGCTGTAAACCTTTAGCTGTCAAACCTCAATGTCGCTGATCAAATTGCTTGGTTTCATTTAATATGTGCTAAAGAGGAATGGCCTTTTCTTTCCAGTCCCCCGAAGCACCAGCATTCCTAGTCGTAGAACTTCTCACGCACTTTCATACCCTAAGTGGCCCATTGTAGTTGGGCAGAGCACAAAGTGGTTCAAACAAAGCAGCTACCTTGTAGACGTTACCGGTTTTTCTTTCCCATGAGAAGTGCTATTTCCCAATTGTGATGCTGTTAAAACCAGCAGTGATGGATGTGATGTAAATCAGATCCTCTAATGAATTATCTAATTGTATTCCAATTCACATTATGGAAATGTGTGGGCTCGCAGAGATGCCCAGACTAGCAATGAGGACTAGATAACCAGGCAGCCAGCCTCTTGCCCTGAAAAGCCAACCCCCGGAGTGGGAGCCGTTCTCTGATCAGAGGTCCCTGATGGGCCTGGATGGCTAAGTGATCAGGACACCGTTTCACACACTGATTCCACAGAGTACTTATTCCCCAGATGGTAACTGGCCAGCCGAAGGGTCCTGTGGGGGGAGGGGGAAACGGGGAAATAATCTGGGTGAAGTTGTTATAACTGTTATTGAAGGTCTTCTCAGATCCTTGAATCTGCCAGTACACATTCATGTATTTCATTAGTGTTTGAATGCCTTTTGTGTGCCAGGCACTTGGGGGGCCGGGGTGAATGAGATAGCTGGGGTGCCTGCTTTCTACATTCTACTGGAGGAAGCAAGCAAATAAAGATGGAAGAGAAATATCAGATAGTGGTGTTATAAGATGATGGGATTCAGAGGGATTGGGTCGATAACTTAGGTTGGGTTGACAAGGAGGTCTCTCTGAGGACTTGACACTGGAGTGGAAATATGAACGACACAGAGTGAGCCATGCAGAGCTCCGGTGTAGAATACATCAGGCAGAGGGAACAGCTGGCACAAAGGTCCTGTGACAGAAGCTTGGCAGGTTAGAGGAACAGAAAGGAGGCTAGTGTGGTTGGAGCTGAGTGGGTGAGGGGAGGTGGGAAGTGAAAAGGTGACCTGTAAGCAGAGAGGGCTGCCATCATGTACATGGAGGAGAGTGTCACTGGTGGCCCTGGACTTGAGCAGTGCTGTGGCTCAGAGACCAGGTCACAGAGCGCTGGCTACGCTGCGAAGAGAGTTTGTATTTCGTTGTAAAGGTGGCAGGAAGCCATCGGAGAGCCTTGAGCAGGAGAGAGACTTGATTTGATTTACAGTTGTTTTTTTAAAGTTACCTTTGCTTCTTTCTGGAGAGTAAGACTGTAGAGGAGCAAGAATAGAGGGAAGGGACCCAGTTAAGAGGCTTCCATGGTCCTCTGGATGATAGTGGCTGGGATCGAGGGGATGGAGCAGATATGGAGATGGACAAATTCGGAGTATTTTGGAGGATGAGCTAACAGGACTGTGAATAAATCGACTACCTGGAGTGAGGGAGAGAGGAATCACAGGGAAAGCCTGGATTTCTGGCTTGAGCAGTTAGGTAAATGGTGGGTTTTATTGATTTAAGGAAGCCGGGGAGAATACGTGTGTACTGTGAATCATCAGAAGCAGGGCATAGAAAGCATTCCTTAGGCTTGGCCACAGAACTCTTCTTATTTTGCACAGCACCTCACTGCATAGGGTTCCAGGGCGCGTGTGTTGAGAAGCACTGGGCTTGTGCACTGAGCAATGCCAGCCCCAGGCATTGATTTCCATGATAGGCGTTTGTTTTCTTAAAAGAACCCAATGTTCCAATCAGGACAGCCATCTCCCAGTAAGAAAAAACATCCTACTATTAATAAATGCTTTATCTGCAGAAGAGCCAAACTCACTGAAGCCAGGTTTTTATATTCATTTATTCCAGAGTGGTCCCTGCCATCATGGCCCCTGACCCTTCAATGGGGGTGACACAGGCTGGTCTTTGGAGGTGCTCTGTATCCTCACTCATCCTTTCTCTTGCCCAGATCGGGCTACTTCTGCAGATGACTGGCTTCATCCATGATATACTGATGTTTTCTCATTTTACGTCCCAGCGGATAATCTTATTTTCAGTTCTAGGGCTCCGATAGCCCATGCTGGTACTCTGGCTATACATTTAAGAATAGTAGAGTTGCGGGCCGGCCGAATGACTCAGTTGGTTAAGAGCTCGCTCAAGAGTTTGAGCTCTGAGCAACAGCGGTTCGATTCCTGGCCTGAGCTGAGCAGCCGCTGAGCTGCCAACAGGTGGCAGGATGGCTCAGCTTAAAAAAAAAAAAAAAGAATAGTAGAGTTGCCTGACTTGCTCAGTTCTATGGTATTAGTATCTCCAGGCTCTGACTTTGATAACCAAAGCCCCAAGAGTAATGGTTTTGACCCTTGGGCATCAATGAGAAAAGCTGACGCAAGCCCCAAATGCTACGTTTGTTTTGGTTCTCTGTTAGAACTCTGCCAGATAGGAGCATGCCGAAATACTGTACCTCTTGGGATAGTAAATGCTAAAACCTGGCCACTTTCCCATGGTGTTCGTGAATACAGGAGTAGTGGAAGCCGGCCAAGGACATTCGAGACATTGGCACGAAGGAAGCGGAGCGACTCTCCCAAGGTGGCCAAGTGGAGACTCATTTCTACCTCTTTACTTCAGCCCTTCTCATTAATTTACATGATGGCTGAGAACTCGATCCACGTTTTGCCTCATGAAATTCCTCACCGGCCTAGAGTCCAGGAGAGGAGCAGAATTCCCAAGACTTGCTCCCTTCTCCTTCTGTGTCTACCTTACATATTATCAATATTCAGCTGTTTGGGGGAAAAAAACCACAATTTTTTTTCTCCATTCTCTTCTGCCTCTTCTTTCACTCCCCAAGTCTAGTGACACCAGCATTGTATTTCTCATCTCAGATCCTTTTTGAACATGGTATAGGATGCATGGCTTCACGAAGATAAATATTTCCACCCTTCATAAGGCGGTAAATAAATTGAACTTGCAAACATCTATACCCTTTGTTTTGGTCAACTTTATGGGACATTCAGGGCGTTCCTATGAAAAACACCCTGGTAGGATGTGGAATAGAAGCATCTAAATCCTTTAGAAAGGTGTAAACTTGTCAGAGACCCCTTGCTTCAGATCTACTTATGGGAAGAAGGCCTTATAGTGACTGGTAGCTGAAAAGAGATTTGGTGTTTATAAGAAAACCACAAAAGTTTTTAGGTAATTTTGATAGCACTTTCTTTCTTTCTTTTTTTAAATTTTATTTATTGGGGAACAGTGTGTTTTTTCCAGGATCCATCAGCTCCAAGTCAAGTTGTTGTTTCAATCTAATTGTGGAGGGTACAGCTCGGTGACCCATGTGGGGATCGAACCGGCAACCTTGGTGTTACAAGCACCGCGCTCTAACCAACTGAGCTAATTGGCCACCCCCAGAACTTTCTTCACATTGGAAATTTATCAAATCAGAAAACTTAGCCCAAGAAAAAAAGGTGCATATTGTGGGAAAAGTGTGCAGAGGGAAAACCGGGGACAGTCCCATGGTCATAAGAGTCCTGTTGTTTATTTGTGTATCTAATGTATCTTCTCTCCCCTCACTCATCTCTACCACTTTTTTCTTTCCTATAATACAGTGCATCATCCAAGGACTCATCTCAAAGCAAAATCATCCGCTTCACTCTGGGTCAGAAAAAGATCTCTAGGTTAGACTTCTCTGTGTCCTGCAAAGCATGGTTTCAACCCAACCCATTGTTCCTTTGCTCTGGCTGTGTTTCCTTTCGGTCCCTCTCCCCATTTCATGTTTGCAGTTTGAGAAAACCAAACATGCTTTGGCCAATGACCCAGTGTTGGAGTTTTGAGAGTGAATGTGAGATTGTTGAACAGAGAGAGAGATTGTGTGTGGGTGTGTGTGTGTGGGGGGGGCGGCGAGGGAAGGAGGGAGGGATGGACAGAGTATAAGTAAGTGAGGTTGAGGTGCACATGTTTCTGCATTTCACTGATTTTGCCTTTGATTGCTTGGCTATCAGAATCCATTCTGATTTAGGGAGAGGTGAGTGTCTAGGTGGTTTTTGTAGTGGTTTTATGATGAGTTTGGCTCCTTGCTCTGTCTTGACCCTGATCCCACCTCACCTGCATCTCATTTATGTGTGTTGTGCTTTTTGTTGTTAAAATTACTAATGTGGGACTGGCTTTCTCTTGAGTTACAAAGACCTGAAGCATGAATCCAACTGGTCAGAGGAGACAAAGCAATAAGGCAGCTATCTCGTTGTTTCTGGATGCTCTGTGCACCATGGCGAGACCACCTCAGTTTCCTGAAATAAAAATTAGGTTTGCTAGTAGTTCTCTCAACTAAGTAGTTCTCTTAACTCCAAGTTTGGCGCCCACTGCATCCTGTGAGGACCCATTCCAGGGTTTGAGAAATGCCAGCTACATCATTGTATCTACGGTTATTTTAATGGTATCAACAGCTAACATTGAATGCTTATTCACCAGTTTGAATGCATTGTCTTATTTAATCCGCACATCAGTCTTCTGGCAGCAGGTCATGTTATTATCCCCATTCTATAGGTGAGGAAACTAAAATTCAGGAAGTTTGGTAAGTTATGCAAGGTCACACAGCAAGTGGAAAAGCCAGGATTTGAGCCCAGGCGATCGAACCGCAGTGCCCTTACTTGACTGACTGTACACTTCCGCCCTCCTCCTTGTTAAATTCTGATATTCATGTGTTTGTTGAGGCCGCTGTTTGAATCTTATATTTTAGCCATTGCTCCTAGCCTTTCGCTCCACATTGCCATTGTAGCATCCTAACGGAATTACAAATTTCTCATTATGACTACTATTTATATTTCCTTGAATTTCTCACTTAAAGCTAAAGGGATACCCACACTTCATTTCTACCTGTGTTCATGGAACAAATACACACTGAATGTCTGTATGCTGCCCCTACTCTGTGAGGCTCTAGGTGCCTTCTCTAAAAAGAGTTTACTTTTCTGAAAAGCTTGCACATGGGGAGAGCCAACTCAGGCTCTGCCTGGCAGAGGGCTGGGAGTGGGGCAGAAGCCACAGGCCATTTGCTTTTTGTAGAACAAGCCAGCATATCACCCAGACTAGGTTCTGGGGGTCAGGAGGGAACCTACATTCTTCACTGCTTCTCTTAGCTGTTATATTAATAGCAGTCAGTTTGGGCTGCTATTAATATAACAAACCACCATAGACTAGGTGACTTAACAGACATTTATTTCTCATCATTCTGGAAGCTGGGAAATCCGAGATCAGCGTGCCAGCACAGTCAGCTTCCCATGAGGTCCATCTTCCAGGTGTCCAGGTGGCCGTCTTCTTGCTGTGTCCTCACATGGTAGAGAGCAGAGAGAGGGGAAGGAAGCTCTCTCACATTTCTTCTTATAAGGCACTCATACCATCACGAGGGCTCCACCTTCATGACATAATTACCTCCCAAAGGCCCCATCTCCAGACACCATCGTAGGTGGTTACAACATCTGAATTGGGAGTGGGGGAGACATAAACATGCAGCCCATAGCACCATGCTGGTGACTACTTTCCCTAACAGAACATGAGGCTCAAGTCAGAATAGACACCCACTGCCCTGGCAAACTGGGTTCCCTTTTTTGTTTTTTGAGTGTCATGCAAATGTCCATACACGAGAAGGGAAGGGAGAGGGTGGGTGAGCTCAGAGAAAACACGAACTCTACTGTTGTTTGCACGATGTGCCTAGTTCTGAGAAACAAAACAAGAGCCAGCTGGGAAGATACCTAATTGGGAGCACATGCCCATCCCATGCATGGTTTGTTATCTGTCCCGGATGATGGAAGGAGGCAGTGGTCAGGACCCAATGGGAAGAGAAGGAGAAAGGAAGGATGAGGGCTTGTCTGCCCTTACCCGAGCCGAGGGTCTGCTGGGCAGATCTTTCAAGCTGACCCAAAGCAAGCTCTGGCTTTCTTTCAGGACCATGTCCCTCATCTAGAGTGTCTTTTGGATGCATTTGGTCTCTGATGAAACCAATGCAGGGATATCCTTTGTTTCATTATTTGCCTAATACCCCTTGCCTTGCTGGAGCACAGTCCTGATGAGCCCTTTAGCTGATCAGGCACTACAAAGGCAGTACGTTTGGTTGCCAAAAGAAATAGCCACATTCCTCCTGGTTGAGTAGGATACCCCTCCTAGAGCTCTGGAAATAGGTCTCTTCTTCAAGCACAAACACTGATTGAACAAACCTGCCAAAGCCAAACACCGTGACAGGCACCAGGGATACTGAGCAGGGTGGAAAGCCTCACCCCTGTATCTGGATGCAGAGAAGGGACTTATGGAGGGAGCTGGTACAGGGATGAGGGATTTTCATGAATTTCTGCCTTTGACCACTATTATTGTTCTTTGCATCCCTGGTGAGCCCCAGATATTTTAGTTCATTCTACCTGCAGGAGGCAGAGAAGCATAGCTGCCACGAGCACAGCTTTGCAGTTAAACCTAGTGAAAGCCCACCTTTACCACTTACTGTGTTACCTGGGTACATTATTTAATCTCTGTGAGCTCGTGTTTCCTTATTGGCAAAATGGAGTAGTCCTGTCTCACGGTGCTATGTGGATTAAATAAAGTCATGTGCAATCCTTTAAAACCTGGCATGTAATCAGTATGCCATAACTAGCAGATGTTGGTGTCTGGGGTTGATCTGGGCCACTTCTAGATCTGGGCCACCAGGCCACTTCTAGATCTGGGCCACCAGGCCACTTCTAGCAGGTCCCACAGAGTGGCTCTTTACATGAACCATCTTGTAGAGAAGAATCAGTGGGACTAGTAGTTTGGCTCTCTTGGTCCAGCTGCTGAAAAGCAGATGCCATGGAGATGAGAGATTTAGCATTTAATCATCTTGTCTAGCAAAAGACATCTCTGATTATGACCCCCGCCCCCCGCAGTCCTGAGCATGTGCACACAAGCTGCCGTTCTTCCTGGGGGGGGGCATCTTTTGCTTCCAGCCTTTGAAGTGGTTTGGGGGGGGAAGAACGACTTTCTTTTCCCATCAGCACAGACAGCGGTTGGAGCCGGGATGCACTTGCAGGGCATGTTCCAGGAACGATAGCTTTACTGCCCTGCCTGCTGGGCCCTGCACATGTTGGAGAAATTGACCATGGCTCCAATAGCAGCAGGGTTTTGCTTCCTTCCGCCTCTTTGTTCCACCATGTCCGTTAAACGTAACTTTTTAAAAAGGCAACATGTGTATGTTTCAAAGAGCCCATCTGTGTCCTCTGTCATTTTGTAACTGTTTGGACATGGAATGATCTTCCAGAGGAGCTGTTGGAACCTTCTGGGGCTATAAACGATGTGGGGTGTAAAGGATACAGGGTTGACTTTCCGTGCTCCCCTCTCGCTGCTTTCCTTTGGTGAGGCAGGCCCCCTGGGTAGCATCTGCTATGGTGCCTGCAGCTGTTCCACATGAGCAAGACCCAGCTCTTCAGCAAAGAGGGATGCTAACGTACAGACAGCAGCTACTTCCAGGCTGGGGCTTGACAGAAGTCCCCCTGATGCACAGGGATGTTCATAATCATGACCTTCAAAATGCTATCCAGAGGCCCAGGGCCTGTGTTACTATAAACTAGACAAGACTGCTTTCCCATCCTAGCACTTGCTCTCAGCCTCCCTCATGAATGCCTCATTGCTGGAGGCAGAGCAAAGTCCAAGATTCACACTGACATGTAAGGTCCTCCCTGCTTGGGCCCTGCCTGCTCCTTCAGCCTCATGTCCTCCCGTCTGTCCCCAAAGCCCCAGCGCACACCCGTCCTTTCTTTCCTCTACTTTTGTGCAGACTTGCCTCTGCATAACACCTCTTCCTCTCACCATGACTTTCTTCCCTTCTTGCCCTCTACACAAGGCCCCGTTCCACATGCCACGTCTCGCTCTGGAGTCGCTTTTATTTGGAACCTTTCTGGCTCATCCCACCAACCCCCAAAGATTACCGTCTTCCTTCTTGGAATGACTTCTGACCCTTGCATAGTCTTTTTAATATGCGTGTCATTTAGATGTCAGCGGGGAGCAATCAGCCCTTTCAGATCTGGATAAGACTGAGCTGGAAACTTGTCTTAGTCCGTTTGGGCTGCCATAACAGAATACCACAGACTGAGTGGCTTATAAACAACAGAAAGGTATGGTTCACAGTTCTGGAGGCTGGAAATCCGAGATCAGGGCGCCAGCATGGGGGTTCTGGTGAAAGCCCTTTCCCAGGCTGCAGACTGCTGACTTCTCACTGTGCTCAAGGGGTGGGAGGGGGCAAGCTGGCTCTCTGGATGCTCTTTTATAAGGGCATTAACGTCATTCATGAAGGTCCCACGTAATGACCTAATCACTTCCCAAAGGCTCTATCTCCTAATATCATTACATTGGCCATTAGGTTTCAACATGGGAATTTTGGGAGAACACAGATATTCAGACTGTAGCAAACCTCTTCAATTTGGAGACAGTCCAGTGCCCTTCTCCTGATCGCTCAGGTATCTTATGTTCTCACTGTCACCTTTGGCTTTGACGTCCTACATTTGAAGTCCTGTACTTATAATTCAGTCTGAATTCAGTCTGGGAATTGACTCACCGTCTCAGAGAATGTTTTGATTCCCTCGTGGCTGGATCCAAGCTAAGCCTTTTTCCTTCCCACCCACCGCACTTCATTCATGCCTTTGTATGTGAGGTGGACTTGCTGAAAATTTCAGAGGGATGATAGGAGGCTTACTTTGGAGCAAGCAGCTGACCAAACCCATGTACTACAGAACCCATGTTTTAAAGCACATTGTTGACACAGATTCCCCCTCAAACTTGGAAGAAGTTACTTAGTCTTCATCAAGTTTTCCCATTTGGTCAAGTTCAGGGAGCTGCCGGCCTAGGATATAATGGGGCTGGGGGTAGAGGATAACATGAGTTGGCTTGAGCCTTGGTGGCTTTTGATGGCTAAGTATGTGTCGACCACCTTTTATTTGCCATGTCAGCTGCCCTCAAGGCCTTCAAGAACCCCTCCATGCCTCAGGAAACTTGGCATAACTGGGCAGATTTGAAGGACATGCCACTCCCATCAAAAGAACATCTCCAGGTCCTGATTCAATGAAGGGAATCTGCTATGACTACCCAGGGGAAACCCTGAGCTATCTTAGTTAATCCCAGACCAGGAACATTTTGCTCTGGGGAGTGGCGTCCACAATGGCTCAGAGGTACCCCAAGTATACAGTCACAGATACTTGGATGAGGCAGTTTTTCTTCTGGAATGTTTCTTAGGAGGATGATAAGTCCTGTCTGTCTGCCAAAGCCTATCTTGCCTCTGAAAATGTTGATCTCAGACTCTTACATGATTTTTGTCCAGCTCTGTTCTGATGCTTTAATCTAGATCCATCTATTTCCTTCCTTATTTGATTCTTTTTTTGGTACCATAGCACATTTCCTTTATGACAATGCCCAATTCCTCTACGAATCTGTGCTCAGTAGAAAGGATTGGGAGGAGGAACCAACATGCGATGAGTACTTACAACAGGCCAGAAATTAATTCCCATTTCAAGTTTACAACTATCCCATTGGTTAAATTATTATCATTCCACATTTACAGAGACGAAACATGAATCTTGGATTATAAGGCTGGCCCAATGTCATGTGTATGGGAAAATCCCATATTCTACCCGTTATACCACCCTGCCTCACAGGGGACTGGACTGCCTACCTAATTCAAGGTTGTGCGCATCCTGTCCAATGCTTTGATTTCTTGCCCCTATAAAGGCCCTGTGCTGCCATGAAAACTCCGTGGTTCAGCCCCAGGTCAGGGCAGCGGGAACTCCCCAGCAACTCGGAAAGGAATGCCTCTTTTCCCTCCGCCTTGCCTGTTGCTTCCCTGCCCTTTGCAGATTCCCCACTGAAGCGGAGTGCCATGACCTGGCTTACTCTGCGCCATTTAATACCATTGTTGTGACGTCATCTTGGAACAAGGTCGTAAATCTTTTCCCGGGATATCTGGGCATAAAGACTCCTGCAAGGTCCAGCCCAGAGGAGCCCTACCATAGGCTGTGAGCTCAGCACGAACTTGGAGGGCTTGCTGGATGTAGCATTGGAAGCAGAACCCAGAGGTAGCAAGATGCTGCTTCTGGGACTCCATGATGGGTTGTGCTGGCCACATCTGCCCCCCAAACACAGGCACCGGTGCTGCTGGTCTTGCATCCCACTCTTACCTGTCTTTGTGGAGTAAATGAACAGAGGGGCAAACCCCTCTAGTGCAGTGGGAAGCGATGCCTTGTGGGGGGAAGAGCTCCCCCCGCCCCCCTTCTCTCCTTGCTCCCAGTCAGGGAACTGGGCCAGCTTCTTAACCGTACAAATTTATAACCCTCTTACACCAGCTCATGTTCTCTGTTTACCCTACAACCATCTTTCTTGCTTGGCCAACAAGAAAAAGTTGAAAGTGATTGCCTGCTTATGTCTAAAATGCTTCCAGACTGCAGACTTCTTTGGTGCTTACAGATTTGCGTGGAAGGAGAAAGCTGAAAGCTTTATGAGTTGAAAATTCAGACTTATCACTAGATCTAATGCTAGGCAGCAGGGGTTCCAGAGGCTTTTAAACACAGCTAAGTGGGTTTTAGCAAAAACATAGCTAACTATTTAATGTATTCATCTTTCAACTTTGATGATTGGAAATAGCCTGCTTAGTAGTCCCTGAACCAAAATCCTGACCTGGGGCCCTCCCTTTAACTCTTTGGGTCCATAATATCTTTAGACACATTACAGAGAAGTCTGCTGACTTCATTTCCCAAACCACCCAAAATGAGGTGTTTTATTTAAAGGGAAAGTGTGTGTGTCTTTAGGCTAACAGATTCCTGCTGGTTTTACAGAAAGAACATATGATTTTATCCAACACCTGTGCAGAGAAGCTGGGCTTCCACCATAGAATAATGCCCATGGAGACAGGTTGTCAGGTGTCAAAGGAAAATGTATGTCTGCAGAAGTTTCCCTCCAGACCATAAGTTTTCACTGCAGATGTGTTGGCTTCTGAGTGGTAGCAGTTCCCTTTCTGATTTTTATAAATTGTCTTTTTCTTGATACTCATATCTCTGGATTATGGCAAACACCATTTTCAGCACCTACCAGAAGAGCTACGCACACAGGGTAAACAGCTTAGAGTCTCAATGGGCCTTTACGTTCCACGCTTGATAGAATTAGAGATGACATGGTTTGGTCCAACTGTAAAGTAAAAATATTCATCCAAGAGAAAAAAAAAGGAAGGTAAGCTTCGTATTTTTAATCAGCAAACATAGTCACATATTTTCTCTTCAAAATGTCTCTCTTTTGCTCAGTGGAAAACTGTTCCCGTTTTGCTGTTGGACTTGGGGTCATTACGAGCATAGTGGTTTGTAGTGGTTCCACTAAATCCTTTGATGGCAGACCTCCAGAGACCCAGGGTCCTGAATGATTTATTTTACCTCCTGCATGGTTGCAGTAGTTGTTCCTTCTGACACACGCCTGTGCCCCCTGAGACTGAATCTATCCCTCTGTTGCTTTTGCATCTTAGGCTTCCGGGTCCTACCGCTAGGGTATCCGCTGCAGGCAGCGACGCCAAGACACGCGGAGGGGCGGCCACTGCTAACAACCGCCGCAGCCAGAGCTTTAACAACTATGACAAGTCCAAACCAGTCACCTCCCCGCCCCCACCAAGCAGCCATGAGAAAGGTGAGTTACCTTCTTTGGGGTCCTTCGTGTCACCTTCCTTATAGCAGATCCAGTTCCTTTGGGTGAGTTTAGTCAGGGGTGGGGTTGCCAGTAGGGGAGGGGGTGGGAGTGGGTCACCCAGACATAGCTGGCTGGCAGAAACCTTGTTAGCAGGGGCATTACTAAAGAGGGGGAAATACTGTTACATTCATAGTTGTCAGCAAGAATAGCTCTATTTGTCTGGGTGGGACCCACAAGATACCTGACTACAGATAGAAGCCATTGTAACATTTGCAATTTAAAAATACATTTTCATAGAACTTGCTCTGTGTGGTAGGTGGTTTTCCAGAAATGCAAACTTCGCGGGGGCATGCATTTTCTGAGCTGATAAGCTTTTTACCCATCAGAAGTGATGTGGGGGAAATAAGGAACGAGAGAGTTTTCACCCTTTGAAAAAAGTCAGAAATGTGGGTTGGCTAAATGAAGATCTTGGCTACATATAAGGAGAAGGCAACATTGCTCTGGGTGTTCTGCTGATGTAACTTTTGCCAAAAAAGGATATGACTTTTTTACTCTACATAGCACTGAGCTTTTAGGATGGAGATGAAAGGTGAGCAGCCCAGTGGGGGCTCTGGCACAGAAGGTAGTGAAACCCTTGCTTGCTTGCCTCTGTGTCGAGACATTGAAGAAACTGAGAGAAACTGAGACAGCTTAGAAGATTCTCCAGTACGAAGCAGAGCCCTCCTTCATTCCTCCCAGGCGAAGTTTGGGATTGCTTGGAGGGATGTGCCCAGGTCTCCTGGAAGCACTTCCTGCCTGGTGGTGGGAAGCTTCCGAGGGCTTGTCCTAGATGTGCCCCTCTTCTGCCCTGAGACCCAGGAGAGCTGCCTTCTGCTCCCCAAAGAGCTTCCGGAGCCTGGGCAGCCCTCCTACTGTGAATGAGATTAGAACCTCCCCCATTCACCCCTCCAGCTCAGGATGACTTGGTTCAGTGGAGCTGGGAACCCCCACTGCCCACACCCACCCTCTAGAATACCAGAGAAAATATGCAGGAAATTTTTGTAAGGTTGACAGATACACATGGCAGAAGGGTTCCCAGACAAGGCACTGGGAAGTGCAAGTAGCAGTGAAGCTATAACCAGGATGTCTCAACCAGTCAAGACTCTCTGATCCAGCCCTTGGCTTCTTGAGACCGGTTTTCTTTTTCTTCTCTCCCCGCCCTTCCCTTCACCTCCCTTCATTTCATACCCAAGTGTGCTCTTTTTAAAAGTGTGTTTAAATGACAAAATAATACATGCTTATAAAATGGTACAAGTATATATCAAATAAAAATTCTCCTTTATATGCTCCCTGAAGGATACCAATATAAACCATCCTATGAGTATCTCTCAGAACTTTCACAGTACATTTGTATATATAATATATATTATATATGTGTGTGTATACAAAAAAAGTATATAGAAAGTTTTTGGTTTTTAGATAAATAAGAGCTAAGCTTTATTGAGTACCTACTATGTGCCTCATTGAATTCACCCAACCAAGCTTTGCTGATCCCCATTTTAAGTACTTGCTGAGCTCACACCAGAAATAGTGAGAGGTGTAGTTGGAACTGAGCATCTGAGGTAAAGGGGCAGTGTGATTTTCCTATTTCCTCATCCTTTCTTCATGGTCCCTATAGTCTCCCTTGAATCTGATCTCGATTGCAGCTTATGAAGTAGCCAGCTTACATGCAAAATATGGTACGTGGTGAGGGAAGAGAAATAACCACCTAGCTGTGTGTACAACACAGTAGGTACTTGGGTGCCTGAGATAGCACCCTTCCCCTTGAGAAGCCTTGGAGAGAGACTGCAGTGCAGTGTGACTGGCGCGGTAGTTCAGGTGTGGATCATTTTCAGATGACGTCAGGTCCGTGATGTAATCTCACTCCCTGTCCTTCCTGGACGCTTTCTTGTGAGTCAGGCCCTGACTGTGTGGTGGTCTGGCATTGCACTCAGGTGAAATCTATACACCTTTCTCTGTGACACGTTGACCCAGGCATTCCACTTTTGGGAATTGATGCAATCACATCCGTAAGTGAAATGAGAAATTCATTATTCTGTCAATAAATGAAAGAAATATTTCAACCCTCAGCCCCAACTTTTGAAAGGAATTAAGAGGAATGAAAGGACATTGTTACAGGGAATTTTTTAAAACCCCAGAGCACTTTATACTAGTGGGGAAATGCTAAAGGATTCCTCTTAAAATCATGTCCAAAGACACAAGTCCTGTCCCCACTTACCATCATCACTGAAGTTAGCTCTGATTATAGCAAATAATCACCTGAGGTGGGAAACAGAAGGAGACTCATAGGTAACATTTCATAGCGAGAAAAAGCCTGGGGACTCACCCAAAACTCGTCAGCTCATTCTATAAGGTGAGCAAGTACACAGTTGATATGTGAAAACCAAAGTGTTCCTGTGCAGCAGCACAACCTGTTAATTTTCCTAAGGACTCTGATTGCAGATTTTGCAGTTTGGAGCAGTCTACAGACCCTTAGCCTCTAGGAAAACCTGCTTGTTGTCATTATTGCTCTCATGGTTGCGTCCGCCTTTGGTTTCATCCCCTCATGCCTGCAGGCAACAATCAGGCTCAGCCTTGCCTGTGGGACGTGTCAGCGGGTTCCACTGTGAAACATCTGTTGAGAAATGGCCCGAGACGCCCAGCAGCTCTTCACTTCCTCTGTTGGCTCCTAGTAGCTTTGAGGTTTCAGACCAAAATCACAGATGTTCAGGAGAGAGGAATAGCTGTCTTTTTCAACATTTGTGACATTATCAGTTTTGACCTCCTCCCATTCCCTCACATCCTCTGAATGGGTTAACGCTGCCAGAAATCTAATCCATTTCTAAAGTATTTGGTCCATCGTATGAATTTGACATGTTCAGTATTTATTCCTAGACTGAATTCTGAGCATATGGAAGACCTCTTTTGAATGATACAGTTTTCTTCATTTTATAGAAAGCATATCTTTATTATATTTTCATTACGAAAATCATCACGTAGAAATTCAAACAAAGCAAATTTGTTAAAAGAAAAAGAATTGTACATAATATCAACTCCCATAAATAGGTACTGTTTACCTCTTAATTTATATTCTTCTGTATTTCTTCATGCATATAGTGTCACATTTTGAGAGATACGTTTTTCTCAATGTGAACTATTTGCCAGGTGCTATTCTAAATGCTTTGTAAGTAATAATTTGTTTTAATTCCTACAGGAGCTATATACATATACATATATACTCTCCCACACTTAGGTATATGACTTAAAATCTTACAAATAAAGTAAAATTAAAGACAGACTTTTTATAGGTCATTCTTTATAATAGTTGCATAATACTCCATTGTATGAATTTATTTTACTGTTTTTAACCACTTTTAGATTGCTTCTAATTTTTTAATATTGTAAATAGCATTAAGATTAATGTCCTTATATGTCTTTTTTGCATGTATACCACCATTTCAGGAGAATTGCTGCATTAAAGGGTATGCACATTTTACAGTTGCTCTAACATTTCCAAATTTTGCTCCCCAAAGTTTATATTTCTATCTATAATTTACTTATAATTTCCATCAACAATGTATGAGACAGCTAGTTTTCCTATACACTTGACACTGCTTTTATTTTCATTCTCTTGGGCAAAAAATACTGTCTTTAAAGTGAGGGAAATTATTTGAAGAAGCTGAACTCAAACAAGATCATTTGTTAAAAACTGGTCTTTTTTATGACATTTTTCTGTGAGTTACAACCAGTGGCCTTGGCTTCCTACAAAAGTCTGGGCTTTGAGGTCAAGCTCTCTACTGGCGAACGTGACCTTCCTCCAGACACTTAGTTTCTCCAGGCCTTAGTTTCTTCTTCTGTAAAGTGAACCTGAGGTGGTCCATCACTAAGTCACCGTGAAGTGCACATGAATTCTTCAGTTTTCACTGGCCATTTGGCCTTGTCTAATGTAAGCCCATGAGCACTTTCTGGTAGGGTCCCTCCTCTGGTCTTCATTTTTCTTTTTCTTTTAAACAGTATGTATATTACGAATTTTGTGTGTGTTTAATTTTATGGGGGAACAGTGTGTTTTTCACTGTGTGTGTTTTTCACAGTGTGTGTTCACACTTTCAGCTCCAAGTCAAGTAGTTCTTTCAATCTAGTTGTGGAGGGGGCAACTCCGTGGCCCATGTGGCGATCGAACTGGCAACCTTGATGTTATGAGCACTGCGCTCTAACCAACTGAGCTAACCGGCTGCCCCTGGTCTTCATTCTGTGTCAGTTCTTTCCCCTTTGTTCACTCCTGCCTGTCCTGAGCAGAAGAGGAGAGCCAGACATGGCTAGAGACAGAGTTTTACAGCCTTTAACGCTATGTCATGTCTGAGCAACACCGGAGCCATTTATTTAGAATCTCTATAAACTTGTCAGTATGTGCTTGGCAAACCAAGTTATTTATCTGAGTTACAGATTGGGAGATGTAACCATAAAGAATTTGCCCATGTCCTGCCATTAACCAGGATTCTGATATAAAAGCACAGTTTAGACTAGATGGAAGGGATTCAGTGGTTCGAGTCATACAGAAAAGAGGTTGGGGTGCCTCTGTTTCTTTCTTGTTTCTTTCATGTTTTGGTTCATTTTTTCACTCTTTATGGCTAGCATTGGGCTTCTTGTAGTGACAGAGAAATTGAGACTCAGACTCTGCTTTCCAGGAACTCACAGCCTCAGGGGAGGCACAGAGCTCACCTGTCCTATAATAGAGAGATGCTCAAAGTTGTGAGGAAAGAGATGAACTTAGCCTGGAAGGCTCGGGGAGAACTTCAGAGAAGTGATATCATTTGCGATGATTCCCGTTGCCAGATTTTTGCTGATGGAAAAAAGAAGGGACGGCTGAGCAGGAATGACTCATCCTGCTGTTTTGGTCCAGGTGCTGACCTGAGAGGGCATGTGCTAGGGTCACTGTATTAATAAACCCTTGTCCTATGGAGGTCCTGTAGAGTGGAAGGTCA